TTTAAAAAAATTTTTCTTTTTAAATTTTTTTGTTAAAAAAAAAAAAAAAAAAAAAAAAAAAAACAGAATTTCACAAAAATTTTCTGATGGTATTTCCATACAAGCCATTTCACAGCACCTGAAAAATGAATAATTATTCAAAAATAAAATAATAATCAGATTGCGATATTCTCCCTGACTGTCTCGAGCAGAAATGAGAAGAAACAGAAAATAAAATGTGACCCTGGAGCACAAAACCAGTCATAAGGGTCAATTTTTCGAAATTGAGATTTATACATCATCTGAAAGCTGAATAAATAATCTTTCCATTGATGTATGGTTTGTTAGGATCGGACAATATTTGGTCGAGATACAACTATTTGAAAATCTGGAATCTGAGGGTGCAAAAAAAATCGAAATATTGAGAAAATCATCTTTAAAGTTTTCCAAATTAAGTTCTTAGCCATGCATATTACTCATCAAAAATTAAGTTTTGATATATTTACGGTAGGAAATTTACACAATATCTTCATGGAACATGATCTTTACTTAATATCCTAATGATTTTTGACATCAAAGAAAAATCTATAATTTTGACCAAAACAATGTATTGTTGGCTATTGCTACAAATATACCCCAGCGACTTAACACTGCTTTTGTGCTGCAGGGTCACATCTGACAAGAAGGCACCTTTCAAAAGTCAATGAGACTTCAGCTGATTCTCCAGTCTGTCACACATGGCAGATGCAGTTCTTGAAACACACGTATATTAATATTTCTGATCTCTTGACTGCTGAAGATCTACAGCTGTGACTGAGTGAGCAAGAACTACAAATCCCATGAGCACTTGAGAGAGAGAGAGAGAGAGAGAGAGATGGCAGAGCGAAGCCATGCATGCAGACAGAGAGACAGTGAGCCGCGCCAGCGTCCTGAACGGAGAGAAAATCACAAACAAACATGTTTCTACAACTACACACGTTTAGCAGAGATCAATCAGTGTATATACAGTATTTGGCCGTTGTGATATCGCTGACATTGTTCAATAGTCACACACAAAAAAGTATTACTGTAGTTCTAAAGCTGCACAACTTGTTTAGATTATTTATTATTACTTATTTATTTTGACAAATACTTTGATCTAACAGCAATATGATCAACTTTTAACATTTCGTATTGCTGATGTTTAAATACCAGTGATTAAAAAACAGCAAACAAACACACAGAAAAAAGGAAATCGTTCCAACAGCTCATGTTCAAAAAAGTACGTATTTTTAGGTATATTTGTAGCAGCCAAAAATCATTTGAACTATGCATTTTTGAATGCTTATATTATGAATGTAAAGGGAATCTGTTCTTCGTTCACATTAAAGTACACAACAAATGTACAAACTACGAGTTAATTGAATTCAGGGTTTCTTAGGTTTATAATGTTAAGTCTTTTAGAGACCAATTAAAGAAAAATAAAAAAATAGATGGAAGGAAGAAATAGAAGAAATTAATCAAAATAAAGTGAGTTTATGATTAAAACAAGAACAAATATCTGTCAATGAGGTCAGAAAAACCTACTTAATTCAAAGGGAAAACACATTTAAGCATAAACACTTAATTTTGCTAAATGTCTTGTAAAACAAGACTTCATATGTTCATTTTGCATTTCAAGTAGATGTATTTTTATTTATGGATGTTTAGATATTTGTACTAGAAAACAACTTAAAACACCAAGGAAGATTTTCATTTAATGCCACGACTTTCGGCTCCGATTTAAGATCTTTTTAGGATCTTTAAAGGTCCAGAGACCCTCTAATTGTGCATCGTCAAAGCATGTCTGTGGATCATAAAATTAAAATTAAAATAAATAAATAAAAAAGCATCTTCTGTTAATATCAAAAACATTGTGTAAAATAAGCATTCAATTAATTGTGTTTTTTTGACTACTTAATGCTACCATTAATTTGTTCATGTCACCGTTATCAGCCACTGGCTGATTAGATATCAGTATTAGCAAAAGAAAACTCATGCTGGTTGACTATAACGGTTTGCTACGTGCTATTTCCGGGTTTTTTTTTTAAATCTGCTAAAAGCTTTATTCAGTCAGGAGTAAAATAGTATATACACATGGACTAAGAGCCAATCTTTTAGTCATAAAAAAGTCCATTTTAAAACATTTTGGAAATTGCTCACCTTGGCTAAATTTATTTGTATTTATTTATTAATACTAGTTAATGTAGTTAATCTTTTTTTTCTAATTTTTAACTATTATTTCATTAAACAGTCTGAATCTAATTGGCAATGACTGTTCAGCCAAATAATAGTTCCTCTGATTAGGGAAATATATATATAAATTAAACAAAAATCCCTGTTGACCAAAATAATCTACAGGCCTCTTCAACACTCTCAGAAAGAAACTTGCTCCTTCATCCCAACAGCTCAGTAACACACGGTCAAATCTACTAAAAACGCCGGCGTTTGTTTCTCTAAATCCTTGCTTCCTCCGGCACACGCTCAGCTTTTATCTCGGCACATGATTTAAAGAACGACTCCATTAAAAAACACTTAATAACACAAGCTAAGCACAGTTTCACAAACCCGTCCGGATCAATAAGAGGAAACGAGAGGAGGGAGAAAACGCTACACGCGGTGAATAACTTTCATTATGTGTACAAACCTAAAGAGAAGTGTTAGATCAATAATCTCAGCACGTCTCAGAGGACTCGCGCGCTCTCTCTCTCGCTCTTTCATAACATTTTCCTGCTCGGCGTGAGAATTCATCGGACAGGCGCGTGTCAGGACGCTTCTCGCTGCGGTTTTGTCCAGTCAAAGACTTTTAGCATGAAAAAGAAACGCTGCAGGCCCTTCTGGTCAAAGAGAAGCACGACAGAAGCCACTTCCCTCTGAATGAGTCGGACAGGCGTGTGGCGTGTGCAGCTCTACACAAACCATTATTCACAGTCCTCCTCTATTGTGCATGAACAATAGCTGCTCCGCACGGGGGACAAATTAGGACACGTGTTGAGGAAGAGCGAGTGTGTGTTACTAACAGGCTTTAGACAGACACCGTGCACTAAACGGGACAATTTCTGTGCTGTGTGTTATCTAGAACTTCTCTAACAAGGCTTGAATGCAAAAATAAAAACAAGCATTTTCACCTGCTGGACGATGATACAAATCCCACACACTTGCATTGAAGGAGGGACCAGAGTCATTATATAGAGACCTGATCATCTTTTCATGCAAGATGGGAACCACAAAAAAAAAAAAAAAGTTTTTCCACTCTTTCTACAACAAATCATTAATGTTTTTAAAAGAAAAGACATTCATTAAAAAAAAAAAAAGTAGAGATTAATCTTTGCAGTACGAAAAAAATATTAAATATTTAAAAGAAAATTTTTTTTAACTATGCATACTATACAATTTAAACACGGTTAACACTTTACAATAAGGTTTTATTTGTATCTTTAGTTAACATGACCTAAAAATGAACATGAAAATATTTCTACAGCATTTATTAATATTAGTTCATGCTTAACTATTTATTTTTATTTTTTTAATGCAGGAATTGCTAAAAAAAATATTCTGAATCTACATGGAAATGGCTGTTTGGCCAAATAATAGTTCCTCTGATTTGATAAGATAAAATGAAAAAAACTAAACTAAAATTAAATAAAAAATAATAAATAAAATAAAAATAATACAAAATAAAACTAAATTAAACAAAACAAAACCCTTATAAGACAGCCATATAGGAGCACTTTTTCAATTTAACATTTTTTAAAACACCTTGAAAATTATCCACCTTGGTTAAATCTGTTTTTATTCATTTATAAATACAAGTTAATCTTTAAATAATTTTTTTACTAAATTTTAAAAAGTCTTGCATTAAACATTCTGAATCAACTTGGCAATGAGTGTTCAGCCATGTAACAGTTCATCTGATAAAATAAAATAAAATGGTAAAAACACCCTTGTAAGTAGGGGTGTGAACTTACACTGGTCTCACGGTTCGGTTCAGTTACGATTATCATGTCATCGATTTGGTTCAATTTGATATCACGATGCATTGACGATGCACTGCATCCTCAATTTTACTTCACATTTATAAAATATTGTCACTAAATACAAGCAGTCAGATATATGAACTGTACCTGACCTGGTTTCTTAAGTTAGTGGTATTACCCCCTGCTAGTTACGTGACATTTGAACCGAAGCATCGGAGGTTGTGTCGAGAACAAATGGGCGTGCTAGATGAGGCCTCGATTCGAAGCTTGTGTTGTGTTGTTAATTGTCATAGAAATCACGTGACCAATGACAAACGAAGCTTCACGTTCTGTCCAGTCACGTGCGCAATTCACTTTGCATGTCGAAATGTTCGATCCCCCAGATCTTACTTTATCTTTTAACTTATTCAGTTACATTTTAGATACCCAGTCACACAAGTAATATGAAGAATACAAATGATTTCAGAAAAATTATATATTTGTCATATGCAATTCATGTGTGTACATTATTCTTCTATTACACAGTTTAATGGGTAAATGAATTTATCAGAGACAGAAACTCGACAAACACAAACACACACACTGTTAGGCTTTTATTTGTGCATGTAACGAATCGATCTGTGGAATATGTGGAGCGTCTTTCACAGGCTTTTGGCTGCTGATTTTTTTATGAACCACCAGATGGCGCTGTTTTCGAGACACTCGAAGCTTTGCATCTTTTCCCGAAACAGTCAGAGGAAAGCATCAGTGCTTCACGAGGCTTCATTTGCCCATCCCTACCCCCTACATATTTCATTGTGCGTGACATGATTTACACACAGCGTGTGTCTTCTCCAGGTCGTGCTCAGGTTGTTCATAAAAGCCGAAATGTGGCCAGATGTCGGCTTTTAAAGTAGTTGGAGCATTTTTAATTACTCGCACTCGCGTCTTGCCTCCTTCGTTCGATTAGAAGCAGTGCTGCACAGGATGAGTGTATGACATCAACCGCGAAAGCATAAGGATCCGTCTGCTCTCTTATCGCTCTCGCGGTACTTGATGTCATACACTGATCATTCTGTGCAGCGGCGCTTCAAGCCGAACGTGCCTGATGTATGCTACCGCGACAAAGCACGTTTGCGACAAATGACGTCAGAAAAACGTCAGTACGTTATAATCGGTTATGGTCTATTACTGAATCGATACAGAATCGTCCTCGTCTGCATCGCGATGCATTGAAGAAACAATTAATTTCGACACCCCTACTTGTAAGCCATATAAGTAGGGATGCACCGATACCGATACTGGTATCGGGCCCGATACTGAGCTCCTGTTCTCGTACCCGTACTCGTTAAAATGCCCTGATACCAAAGCAGATACCACACAGCATGTGATAAGTGCCATATTCAGACAAAGAAACACCGACAACAGACAGCAGAATGGAGTTATTAGAGATTAAAGATGTCTACGATTACGAAGTATATGTATGCAATGAACATAAAACATTCAGTATTAATGCCTGTATAGCTGATTTTGCGCCAGCTGGTAAGCAAATCCCGCTGAGTGGATTGAGCATGCGGCGGCGCAGATGCGCGAGCTTGTCGAGTGAATATACCTTTCTCACAGACATCACTGGAAAGTTTGTAGTTCGGTCGGATATGTCAAAAAGAAGTAAAACAATGCACAAGTTACTTAATGGTAGGGAGGGAGAGAGAGCGCGCGCACACTTTTGTGTGATCTTTATTGATGTTCGCTCACTTAGCACACATCATTTGGATTAAAACTAAATCGTAAATATTTATGGGGCATTCACTATAAACGTCATTTATTTTCACCCTTAAGCATACACGACTTTCTGGCGAAAGTGAAACTAGCAGCCTGTGTGACATGCACTAGGCTGTACTGTATTTGTCTCTCTCATTCTGCACCAGTACAAATACGTATTTTGCTTGCTTCATGAATGTTTCTGCATTATATGAGTGGCTTTGGAAAATAAATCGCTGCACGTTTCAGATAAAAAAACGCGACTTCTATTTATGAAAATATCAGTTAGGAGATTTATAGCAAGTGGTTCCCTTCATTATTACAGCAAAGCGCGTGATTACAGTAGTAAGCCGCTGCAATGGAGCAGCTCTAATGCTATTAAATTAAAGATGATGTAGGCTACCATAGAGAGAGAAAAAATTAACTGTGAAAGTAACAAAAACTTGTAAAGTACATTTTAATGGGCATAATTAAGTGTGAAAATAACAGAAGGATATACAGTCAAACCAAAAATGATTCAGAGACCAGACATAATTTTTGATATTTTTTTACTAGTGGATGCAGGACACTATTGTTCATTTATGTAAGTGAGGATAGCAAAATAAACTAAACTGTGAAATATTATACCCAAAAATTCTTCATACAGTGGACTACCAGTAAAATTGATATAAATTTGGGACCAAAAATGATTCAGACCGAGTCTGGGAAAAATACTGAAGTTGAGGTTTGCATGAAGCTGGGTGACAGCATGCCCAGGAGACTTCAGGCTGTCATTGAGGCTAAGGGCTGCCCGACTAAGTATTGATAGTTGTGTAAATACTGTCATACTAACAGCTGTCTGAATAATTTTTGGTTGATTGTAATCTATTACATACCTCTCTATCAAAGTTATCTAACATTATCAAGCTGAATTTGTTCTGACACAGTTTAACACAGTTATTACCATTTTCTAAACTATAGCGAATAAACTGTGATAATGTGAGAAATGTTGAAGGTGTCTGAATAAATTTTGGTTTGACTATCTATTTGATAAATAAATCAACCAACTAACATTGGTAACACTCTTTTGGTTTCTGTACCCAATATTTAAAAAATTTACAAATGCAATGAAAATATCGGTATCGGTACTCGGTATCGGCAAGTACCAAAAATAAAAGTATCGGTATCGGGCGAGTACTGGAAAAAGTGGTATCGGACATGCCCTACATATAAGTGCACTTTTTAATTTCAACAATTACTAATTCATTTTTAAAATTAGCCACCTTGGTTAAATCTGGCGCATTTTACATTGATTTTATGTATTATTAACGTGCATTGTTCCTGAAAGAAAGAAAGAAAGAAAGAAAGAAAGAAAGAAAGAAAGTATTGTGCCTTTCATGCACAATAGACATGAAAAATGAACAAGACTAATAAATTCTGTAAATATATATATTGCTCAATGCATTAACCAATAAGACTTTGTTGTAAACATTTTTAAAAGGAACTTGTTTTGACAGAAAATAAACGTATTGAAAAGAAAGCGAGGTGCATGAAGCGTCTGATCCTGAGAGAGTCTGAGGAGAGCAGTGGCAGGGTTTGTGTGTGAAGCAGCGCTCTGCTGTTTGTTTTTCAGCCAGAGCAGAGGTTTTCATGTGGGCAGACTTTATTTTGGAGGCGAGCGCTCTGTCTTTGTAGTTACCTTGTTTGATCTGAGCTTGCAGGGCCGGGCTGGAGGCCTGTGGGGTGCTTTTTCTCAGGGTCTCAGGGGTTCCTGGTCTTGGGGGCCTGAAACACAAAAGGCCAAATGAAATATTTAACACACATCCACAGCACAGAATTTAACATCAGACCGGTGCGAGTGTGTGTGTGTATTTATACAGGTCTGTGAGTGTGTGTATTTTCATACAGGTCTGTGTGTGTTTGTGTGTGTGTGTGCGTGTATTTATACAGGTCTGTGTGTGTGTGTGTGTGTGTGTGTGTATTTATACAGGTCTGGGTGTGTGTGTGTGTGTGTGTGTGTGTATATTTATACAGGTCTGGGTGTGTGTGTGTGTGTGTGTGTGTGTGTGTGTATTTATACAGGTCTGTCTGTGTGTGTGTATTTATACAGGTCTGTGTGTGTGTGTCTGTGAGTGTGTGTTTGTATTTATACAGGTCTGTGACTGAGTGAGTGTGTGTGTGTGTGTGTGT